GCAGAACCTGAACACTAGAACTCTGGAAATTAAGAAGCCCTCAGGAAAGTATTAGAGTGTGAACGGTGAGAAGTACTAAGGGTATAACTGTCACACAACACAGGAGGACAGTAGCCTACGACCAGGCACTCATTAGCGCTGCGGTACGAATGGCAAAGCGAGCGAGATTCGAGTTAGAAGTCAGTGAGTTGTTTGGCACGAGAAATGAAACTCTGGCAAACCTCTCACAGATCTCTCGCACGTGCACGTCGCACGCTGGCTCGAAATCTGAGGGCTTTGCGCACGTATTGAAGCCGCAATGAGATTCTGTTCACAAGCGAGGAGCACACAAATCCATATCCTAGATACAAACCTGAATCCAACGAGGAAAGAAATGTTTTTCTAACAAACTGATGAAATGCTGCTGCGTTATGATGTCCTCCCACTCCATGACCCAATGAAAAGGCTCTAAAAAAGAAATAATATAAAAAGATCCACTCAGTGAATAAATATCCATCAACGATTCATCGACGAACGACCTCAGAAGTGAATAAAAAATTCAAGAAAAGACCACAAGATTAGATGAAAGGACTCGCCTGATGAAACACGATATTCTCACAGTAGATATTTCATAACATGTAAGGAAGTCAGTGGGGAGAATTGACTATTTGAGGTTGCAACTGTAAGAGTGACATACCTAAGTGCTGCTGGTGAGGGTTTATAATGAATTCTGCCAAGCACTGCGACAATTTCGGTTAAATTGATCGAAGAATGAATGCATCCATTGTACCTTTGGAAAAAACCTGTCAAATTAAAAAAAAAAATGCTTTTTTGTCAATGAAATATTGTTTTAACCCTCAGAAAAAGTAAGGTTTAACTGTACGGCAGTATTCTTTTTATAACGTTCAGGAAAACATTTATACGCAAAGATTGATGGGCGTGGAACAGGCAACATTTACACCATTAGTCTTTACAACAACAGGCGGAATGGGAGAAGAGTGCAAGAGATACCATAACAGGCTGGCAGAGCTAGTCGCAGCAAAGAAAGGAGAGGACTATGCCGCCACTGTCTCTTGGATACGTTCTAAAGTTTCCTTTGCCATCCTTAGGTCGGCCCTGCTCTGTCTTAAAGGGTCAAGAACAGTTAAAAGAACAATAGAAAGTAATGTTCAAGAAGCGGACTTTGAATTAGATAATTTGGATATATCTACAAAGTTGAAATGGTAAATTGGCCACCGTAACGATTACAAAAGGTGACGTTTCGAGCGTTAGCCCTTCGTCGGAGCGAATAGAGGAATTGTGGGTTGTGTGTGCCTTTAAAGGCAGAAAATGGAGCTACGTTATTGGTGGAACATGGCAACGAGAAAAACACAACCCATAATTCCTCTATTCGCTCCGACGAAGGGCTCACGCTCGAAACGTCAGCTTTTGTAATCGTTACGGTGGCCAATTTACCATTTCAACTTTGTTGATAGATCCAAATTATTTCGTTACCCTCACCGACGCAGCCCCAAACAGTTTCCTTAGAAACTATCAGCCTTTATTCATTTGAATTAGATAGATGCCTTGCCAAAATCTACGTCCTGCAATTTTTAAAATCTTTTTCTGTTATGTGTAAAATATAGTTTCATGGTTTATCGTGTGTATTTTAAATATGTTTGAACGTAAATTATGTAAATACTGAAACGCTCTTTTAGCTTCCTTGATCATATAAGTGATTCTTATTATTATGAATTTTATTTTGGTTTGAAAGCTACAGTCATTCTTATTTAAAGAATTATTACAGCTGGATTTTGAGCATTGTTCATTTAATTTATAGATTGATTTCATATAGTATTTAGGCTTAGCTTTAGAATCAAGTTGTGTAAAAATGTTAGATAATTTTATTGGCTGATTGTAAATAAAGGTATTATTATCACTTTAAAATGATCGAAAAATGTGCTCACGTGAGTGTTTAGAAAAAGGTCTAAAAAATGTGCATAACATTTGTGACATGAACACGAGGCTGAACTCCTGGCTCCAGTTTTTCGAAGGTTGGATAACGCGATCTACTGAAAAAATCTCTCTCCGGTGGGGAACGTAGTGTGTTTTGCTATCAGTTATCCACTGGATAGCGATTTATCCCTCGGATAATGTTATCCGCTGGATAGCGATTTATCCCTCGGATAATGTTATCTCCCCTTATACGACTGGGCCCAGAAGTATTAATATTGCTACCTACTCATCAAAATCCAAATGAAAAACGGGAATTAAAACTGAGAACTAACAAACCAGGCTAAAATGATAAAATTAAGTTAAAATGCACGCGTTATTTATCTTATGTTTCCCTAGTCACGTGACGCAAAAATATAAAAAAAATTTGGCAGTATAGTAGCGGATCTGTGTTTCTTGATTTCATTGAACGAAATTGTACTATGGATCTGCCAGTGAAGTAAGTCAGTACCTTACTCCAAGGTTCCAGCATCATTTTGGCTGAAGGGTCTGAGGGATGCCAGTTGGTTAGAGCCGATGCAAGCTTGAATCTGATTGGTGCATACAGCGGCTCGAGTCGATCACCTACGATGTAAAAACGTTCTCGCATGTAATGACTGGTGTGATATAAAACAAGCGACAAACACAAGAATTTAGCGAAAATAAGACGGTCGCATTTCTTGTTACAAGGTAATTCTGGTTTTATTAACTGAGTTGATATTGTAAATTGGCCACCGAAAAGAAAAGAGTTTCAAAGCTAATGTCACGAGCATACGCCCTCCGTAAGAGCGAAACAATAGCGAGCGCTCGAACGTGTCGTAAAATCCGAACGAAAGCAACCGTAATACCCAAGCAGAACAGAAGATAATTTAACAAAGAGCCGATGAGAAGTCAAGGTAAAAAACGCGGGAAAACGCACGTGACAAAGTCGCGACTGCTTTTGGCTTTGAATCTGATTGGTTGAGAAGGTGGCAGGAGTTTCTGGACCAATCACAAAGCTTGGTAGAGCAAAATCAACGCCATCCCAGATCACTTTTCGCGCGTGGCACTGACTCTCACGTAAATCATAAGCCAGGTAGAATCTTTATATTATTCAAAGCCACTTTCAGCTGCAGTCATTCAGCGCCTTGTCTCATCTACGGCCAAGTTAATTACAACAGTACGTAAAACGTGACAGATTACAGGGGCCTAAATTGACGACCTAATCAATCGTTGCTAAGAAACAGTTGCTAAGGAACATACCCATAAGAGGAAGCCAGGGATGAATCCAGGCATGAACAGGTACAGTGTCTGTCAATGGATTCCACGCATCTACTTCCACCTTAAAACAATAACAACAATTAACCTCCTTCATCCTAACATCACAATCTATATTCTCCATACTGTTATCTATACATTTCCTATGCTACTGACAATAAGAATATGTTTGACAGTCAAGCGCTTCAAGCGATTCATACTCCTAGGTGGAGAGAGGCAAAGAAAGACTACATGTTTTCCCCAAGGACAAATCAGAACGACTCAGACTCAGCCTGGACTAAAGCTCAGACCTCTTCAAAAACGCGCCAACTATCCGATCTTTGCGAAAGTGGGTCAGGCATTCGAAATGGCTTCCCCAAGTTAAAGAAAAACTGCTTCGTTCAAGAACACTCCGACAAAAAGGCAATGCAGATTTAAGAAAACGAGCTGTTTGAATCTAACCTGCAGACGAGGCAGAATTAACTGTTGTTTGATGTTTTCCAATATCCACTGTGGGAGGACTGGTATCCAGATGTTAATCAAGTTTAGCATGCTTTCGTACTCGCGGCAAGTCCAAGAACTGAAAAGAAAAGGAACACTTTGATTATAAGACCGCTTTTTTATTGCGCGTCGTTACACCAAAACTAAAGTAGTCACAATCACCAAGCACTGCGAGAACCATTTTAAAAGGAGTGAATCGGAATTCAAAGAAAAAAATTCAGCAAACTGCCCAAATCGCTGAAAAATCTGAGGGATCTGGTAAAGATTAGTTGTACTCTTGGATTTGATTGGTTAGGATGATGACACAAGTTTTCTAAACCAATCAAAACGCTCAGGCGTGGAGCAAGTTTGAAAAAAGCGTGGGAAATACGCCAGACGCAAGATAATTTCAGCCAATCACAAGCGCAGAAACATACCTATTCTCTATCAACACGGACAAAAATTCAAGCCATTCTTATGCAGCAAAATTCGAAAGCAGTAAAATTCAGCGTGCATATCGAGTTTAAGACCTACCATATAACAGAACGAAGAAAGGGCATCCATACTTCCCACACAAGTCGGTCATACATCTTCATTCTAGGAAAAGAGGACAGTGAAGAAAGATTTAACAATGAAACAGTAAAAACATGACAAGAGAAAACCTTTATCTGTACATACGCCTCCTCGCCATGTGCCGTCCCTTGTGCCAAAGTCAGACTGAATGCAGAATTCTCTGCTTCTTTCCTCTCCAGTATTTCTCGCCATCGGACCATCACTTCTAAACCGTGCGAAGGATTAACAAGTGGATTCCATCCTTCAAAATACTTCCTCACCTGGGAGATGAAATAATTTTTTTTTTCCAATTTCTATTTTCTTCTTAATTCAAACAGACAATCAGTAAATCATAGAGGAGGTAAGTTCAAGTCCTAAAGAACCTGTGCTGCGTCGGTGTGCGGTATTACAAGATAATAAAGTTTTATCACCTGAGTTAATAATCTAAATTGACCACCATCAAGACTTTCTAGAGCTGATATTTCGAGCGTTAAGCCTTCGTCAAAGTGAAGGACGAAAGGCTCACGCTTGAAACGTCTGCTTCAGAACTAACGGCAGCCAATTGACATCATCAACTCTGTTAATAAAACCAATCCATAAGTCAGTCAGTCCAACCGGCCATCTGTCAGTGAGTCAATTGACTGTCACACGTTTCCTTGTCCATAGTCAAAATAATTTATTGTTCTATCAAGAGAACATCCTTCTGGCTGATAGGCTTGTCATTCGTCGTCGCATATTTGTAGGAAAATGTACTGAAATAGCTGGGAGAAGTTACTTGTTAACAAGTCAAATAATTATGTGCGACTTACCAAAGAGAAAACCAGAGGTTCAGCTAAAGATGCCAGGTCATACATCTGAAACGACAAACATATAAAAATATGACTTTTTTTGCAGTCTAGAAAGAAGAATTATCGAGAAGAGGAATGCTTTAGCACTTAGGACAAAGGCAAAACAAAACAGAAGAAGCATTGTCTTTCAGCCAAGCCCAAATTCTATTTGTTAAAGAAGGATTTTTTCAAATATCACTCGTTTTCCCGCCCTTCAGTGGCTTTGCCGCTGAGGACCGCGGGCTTCAGTACCCTTTATTTTTTTCCTGCAGCAGCCATCATCTTAGTTTGTTATATTTTGAGCCCGAAATAAATGATTTTAATTGACGACTTGTTCTTACTTATTTAACTGTTAAGGTACCAAGAACACTATTCACCTTAAATTCCTCATAGTAGTCTTCTTGTAGAGTATTAAATATTTCTTCGCACTTGTCAAGCGTGAGAACATCATCGTCTGGTGACAGTGACTGTTGTCGGCAACTGTGGCATTCAAACAAAGACGATTCCCTTTATTCATGTTATCAGAAGTTAAGTCAAAATAAAAGAGTGATTTTTTTACAGCTGCTAAAAAGCTTATTCAAGTTTCTGTAGCTTAAGAGAGAAGTATACTCCAGAAACCATGAATTATCCTCTGTTAGTACAAAGTATAAATAAAAATATGATCCATCATAAACTTATGCTTGTGTACGATTGGTAAAACACGACCGAATATACTCCTGACCAGCTAAAACTGAGGAATATCTGTTGTTATAACGATATTAACCCACCCATTAATTTTTGTGGGACGCTGTTGGCTTCTCTAAGTCGCCTGGTACAAAATCACCGGACAGTTATCACGTAATAGCCCCCATTTACATCGATATTTATCTTCCGATTATTCCCGTCGAAAAGAAACAAAGCCAGTGACAAAAAGCCAACTCAAGAGATTCACTTTTTCGTCTTTATTACTTAACATATAAGAAAAACAAACTCTTACTGATTCGACTGGCAGGGGAATTAAAAAGCTGATCTCAAATGCTGCTTTGGGAAGTACAAAAAAAGTCTACAAAATTTTGCTGTGAACACGCAATACGAAAATCAATGGGAGGGTTATAAAATAAATAAAACCCCTTCTGACTTGCTGGCATGTTGTCTGATAATGTCTTTAGCTGAGAGATTGTCCTCAAAAATTTCACATTTTCCCTGAAAGTTTCGCTTCTTAGCCATTAACTATTCGGTTAACAGAACATATAAAGTCCGCCAGCAAATATCCGAGCATAAATTATTTCCATGCCAAATGGATACTATTGATTATTCATGACACCTGACTGCACGTTGAGTTTCCAAAGAGGAATATAACATTTTGAAAACTGTCTTCAAATGTGCTAACCATCACTGGTCAACATATCCCCCTGATTCCTTAATCATGAAAAGATTCACACACGAAAAAAATACCTGTCAATCATGTTGATGACCTCCATCAATTTCTTGATCTCCTTTTCTTCTCGTTCCAGCACTGCACTGAGCTTCTCTTCTTCATGTTTAAGATTTACCACAAGATCTTGCTCAAATTTCAACCTGAAAATTATCATAGAATTCTTGAAATACCACTCTTTTACAAGACTACCTGTGTCCAGGAGATGGGATAGTTTTAAAGTACACGCACCCTCTCTCTTAGTCATGATTAAAAAAAAAAAGGTAACATTTTATGATACTAGAGCAGCTTGGCTTCTCCCCAGCAAGATACCTGTGTAGCATTATGCCTCAGCCCACTCCCTCAGTCACATAAAATGGACTTGTTGAAACCACTTGGTTGAAATTGTAACGTACTTTCTAAGATTAGGGCCTTGTAAGCAGATTACACAGGCAAAAGATGGCAAATTTTGAGATCAGTCAATAACTTAAGCAATTTTCTACCCATTTGTATCAAGTATAGGCTAAAGCAAAAAAATCTGAGTGTCCCTCATGCATTCAAACCTTAGGTCATTCAAATAGCATAAAATCAGATGTTCTGAGATTTGAATCTCTGTAAAAGGGCACAGATGTGTATTGTTTTTCTATGCTTGTCAAATATGAATCACATCTCACTCTAAGTGAAGGCCTTATTGTAAGATACTGCAGCCACTGATTGAACAGTTAACTCTTTTAACCCTAACATCAGCATGCATATTCTCCATACCATTCTCTATACATTTCCTAAGGTGCTGACAAGGAAATTTGTTGAACAATCAACAGCTTCTCTATTACTGATCATTTCCTTTATTCTCCTGACTTTAATGTGTGATTCAGGGGTGATGTTGTAAGGAGAAATTAGATGCTAGTCGCTCTTAGGGATCAAATCATTAATTTAAGTGTTATAAGTTCAGTGTGAGATGCAACTTACTGTCTGTCTGTTTGTACTATGTCTGTCTCGGCCATATCAATCAGGAGGTTTAAATTGTATGTTAACTCAGGCATAGCAAAGGCTGCCTCAGCATCACGTACTGGAAATAAACAAAAAAACAAATACATCACATGAGTAAAAACATTAGAATCACTCATACATGATGAGACGAATTTTGACTACAAGTTGCAGAAATTGGGTGCAGACTTGACCTTTTATTAAGAGGACAACACTAGCAAGCGTCATGGAGGTGCCTGATTAAAACTGGTTGTGCTGCAACAACCTAGAAATAATCAAGGTGATTGATAACCCACCTGAAGTGGTTGGAGGGACTTCTCCTGGTTTGGCATGTTGTTGGGCAATTGAGCCATAACCTGTCAGGATCTTTGTTTCAGGTCCTGTCATGTCCACAACCTAAATATGATAAACAAGAAATGAAATAAATAAATTAGAGGTCTTCAGGTTTACAGCATTTCAAAAAGTGGTTTCCAGTCCATTTGAAATGTTTCTAAAGTTTCTCTGCCTTAGGTGTAGAATTTTTGCTCAAAGCTATGAATTGACAAGTGGACAAAAGTTCTGTCTCAGTAGTTACTTCGTGCCTTGAAGAAATGATGCTTTATAATCTTTTATTATATGGCTGTGTCTCACAAGGACTGGGAACTACCGAATTCATGAATTTGATTGGCTCAAATCAATACTGAAAGCGGTCTAGACTTTCCCATCTAGTCTGGCATCTAGACCAGTCTAGAAAAAAAAGGTACAAAGAATATAAAAAGTTGGCATAGAAGACACAGCCATATAATAAACATCTTATTAACCAAGATAGGTCAGTCTGTATGGGAGAATCTTGACCTTGGTCGCTGGTACAGACCTCACTGCGTTTGGTCTGTACTAGTGACCTTGGTCAAGATTCTCACATACAGACCTCCCGCTCGGTTAATAAGAACTAATTATAATCTCTGATTTTGTTTCAATTCTCAGTATAAGAAGAACTTCTTTCTTGAAATCAATAATTACCTTTATCTTGCTGTGCTTCAGTGATATCGATGGTCCTTTTTTACTTCCTCCTGTAGCCTTTTTGGAACAAAAGGAAACTATTTTAGATGTGCTTATATGTAATTTAAAAATAATCTAGGGAACAGCTATTTTCTATACAGCTTGATGCAAAGGTTTACCAGGGAAACTACTTATAAACAACACAAGAAGTGAAACAAAGTTAGTTACCTTAACCTCATCCACTGTTTTGTAAACATACTTTGGCTTTGAATATCCCTGCGTAAGAATGACATATTTGGAACATTTAAGTTTTGCCCCTCCTACAAGCGGCATTGTTTGACAAAGGGATGGGAATGTGGGCAATATTAAGGGAAACTTCTATGCAAGGGTTGGAATCCTCTAAGATGAATGATTTTAATTCATACAATCCTGTTCACCCTTTGGCTCCCAGAAGTGATTAACATGTAATTTCTCCCTATAGTATCCACACATTATCTAGCAAGCCAGTGACAAGAATAATGAGACTTATCAGGGGAAAGTTGATATTTTGATCTGACATCAAATTCTCATAACTAATTTACAAGGTAATCTGTAGCAGCTAGATGGGAGAATTCACAATCTGATCCTGGGAGTTTAAAGGTTAGCACCTCAATACCTCCTCTGTTTTCTTCCATTGTTGAAGTTGTTCTCTGAATTTTTCTTCCTCGTCTTCTTCTTCATCGTAAACAGGCCGTAACTTTGAAGAGGAATACTTTATTAGAAATATAGTCACATGAAAACTTTTTTTATATCAAAAATATCAAATCATATAATAAATAGATACGGATTTAAAAATCTCAGCTTGGTCACAAGGATAAAGAGTGTGTAAAGATTTGTCGATCAGCAAATTTGGTAGTAAAATACTTAGGGACTACAGAATACATACATACATAACTTTATTTGATAATGCAGGTTAAAATTTGCGCAACTTTACAGCTGATGTGGACCTGCCTAAACTAATTAGTCTATAATTATATAAAATACAGATATGATAAAATTTATAAGTTGAATAAATTAAGTAAACCATAAAATTTTAGTAATAGTGAAAATTTGGTTTTATGTTTTGTATAACATTACCTCCCTTTTCAAAATTAATATTCATGACAGTTTGCTTGGATTGTTTTAAGTTATATTTAAAAATAGATAAATTTGGAGAATCTTTAAGATTATTTGGTAGTGCATTCCATGCTACTGCAGATCTATGAGCAAAGGACCTACAACCCAGTTTGGTTTTGGGCCTATTAAGTACAACATTCAGGGATTTCCTTAGGTTATAGCTGTTAGAGTTCTTGGTCACCAAACAATTAATTTCCGGCAACCCTAAATTATAATAAACATTATATGTAATAGTTAAGATACATAGCTTATGGATTCAGAATGGATTCACCTATTTGAAAAATGGCCATGTCTGCATATTGACTAACAATTTTGCCACAGACTCTGGATTCTGTTCTTGTAAAAGGTAGGATTATGGACTGGATTGTCAGTCTACAGTTGTGAGTATTTGGTCAAGAATGTTTTTCAGTTTTCAGCATTGAAAGGTGGATAGAAAAAACTCTTCTAACTATTAAACCTTGACCAGTTAGCTATGGACTTGGTGGCCAAGCCTTTGAACAGGAGTGAGGCTAAGGGTGACCTTGTTATGATACAGATGTTGCTGCTTTTCAAATGTAAATTACTTTGTTATCATGCTAACTAGATACTGGTCTCTATCACATCAATGTCACCCTCAGCCTCACTTCAAATCAAAGGCTTGGCAACTAAGTACACAACTGTAAAATGGTCTATTCCACATGTAATTCATAACTTTACTTTTTCAGATATCAGCAAAGACACTCTAGACAGTAAAAAAGCAAATTTGCAATTGAATTAGATCTGGATTTGACTGAAAATTACAATGGTCAACATGTCAGGTCTAAAAAAAAAAATGCAGATTGCCTCATGCCTATCCACTCTACATGATGAAATTTCCCACATAAACAAAAGCACAACTTTTATTGCCAGATTGCCAAGCTGACTCGAGGAGGTCCTCTGACAATAAAATTTTTCTGTAGATTATATTTTTCCACACATACCTCCTGAGCTTTCTTGCTTCTCTCCGGCCCATAACTTCCCAATGCTCCACGTCCTTCACGTTTAAAAGCTTCTACTGGATATACAATACCCTGTCCATCCTTCCCCAGACCTTTTCCTGGCTCATAACCCATCTAAAAGAAAATGTTCATAATTCAGTTAACCAGGGTTGTCACTAGGCACCCCCTGTTGGCAAAATTTGCCAGCTGAAAAAGCAAAAATTGCTGGCTGAAGTTTTGGCCAGCAATTGGTAAAGCACTTACAATTGTTTACCACCTTTGAGACTCCTCACTTAAAATTTCAGCTGGCAGCATAATTTCTGAGTTCAGTTAACCAGCGTGTTACGAAAAATTGTGTCATGTGACATACATGACCTTCTGGAAGCTTTGCGAAAGGTCATAACTTGTTTATTTTAGTATATTATGTAATTGTTTCTAAAATCGGTATGTTTTGTAATGTTGCCATAATTAGACCCTTTTCAGAAAGTTCTAGAATTTTATCGCATAAGTTTATATTAAGTAGGTTAAGTGAAGTTTTAACTAAGTTTTCACAAGCGAAGAGAGTTGGTTGTCATTAGTCATGATTAGTCAAGTGTGATGAGGCCGTGTGTAATTCTCAAGTTTATTGAAGTTGGCAGAGGCTGTGTGTATTTTACAAGTTGATCAAAGTTGGCAGAGGCCATGTAAGTTTACTGAGTTACGTACTAGTGTAAAGCTTATCAAGTGGAAACTACGTTCATTTCATTGCTGTTCCGACAACCCTGCATTCTGTTAAGACTACAAATCACCTGCCACTCAACCATCGAACTTGTAACACAGGGTTTTTCCCAAGTCACCTCTAAGCACTTACAATTGTTAACCACTATTAAGTCTACTCACTTGAAATTTCAGCCAGCTGTGTAATTTCTCAGCTACAACCCTGGTTAACTGGAGAAGTGTTTCTACTTACTGTTGAGATACCACCATGTGGTCAGCAGCTTACTATATCCTTACCTGCTGAAGCATTTTCATGCCGAACCCTTTAGTATACTTTTCAAATGATCCAAATTCCCTAGTGATAATAAAGTAAAAAGTATTAATGTTACCCTGGTTTTTTTTCTTTCCCCAGAGTAACTAGTCTCTTCCTAGCCCATCTTGTGGTTTATTTGTTGTTCTACGCTTTTTTCTTTTATCATAATTGTTCACGATTTCTTTTCTAATCTATGCATTTATATCATATTTTTTCCACGACTTGTAAATTTCGTTTATTCATAATTATTTATAGTTCAATTCAGTGTGTGTATTTGTGTGTTTGTGTGCATGTATGTGCGTGTGTGTTCTGACCTTAATATTGTAATTCATTCTATGTAATTTGGCTTCCTAGCCTTGTTAACCTTCTAGTTATTTTAGGAAACCAACAACCCCTTAGTTTTAATTTTTTATTTGATGTTAATTTAATCTTCTCAAGAATAAGGGTGAATAAAGTTGTTGTTGTTGTTGTAACTATGAAGGAAAAACATTGCAAGAGTCACCTTACAATATAATTCTTTGAGGAAGTTGGGCTCATTTTCCTCCCATAGTATTAGTAATTCTCTTCTGTTTGATTTAATTTTATCTGTGTGCATTAGGGGCTGACCATTTAACTTTTGAGGCGGGGTGGGTGATTTTGAAAAAAAATTTCCTGTAAGTGCTTGTTGGAAGGAAAAAATTGCATGCAGCCCAAATGTAACAGAAAAAATGTACCAAAAAATTGGAAAAAAATATCCTGCACGGCAGATTGCTAAAAAAAAAAATTTCTTGATGACCAGAAATCACCCACCCCTCCCAAAAGTTAAATGGTTGGCCCCTTAGGTTATTTTATTATTTTATAGTATTGTAAAGTGCCACGAGAAGCTTTTGATGTGCACACGATATAAATATTATTATTATAATTATTATTATAGGCTGGCAGGTGGTTAATAGAACCTTCAGTTCCCACCAGCGACCAAGAAAGAATTTCTCCTTACGATATCAATACAATATCAATCAGACAAGTGATGAGAATAAAGACGAATATCAAATAGGGAATTTTGTCCCATTGTTTCTCTAGCTGCAAATCAACATTCATCACTGTAAATCAATTCTTACTTTCCAGAAGTTTTTAAGAGCTTCTTGGCAAACATCTGAGGCCCTAAAGAAAAAAAAATTACAAATGAACATTGATACAGGCGACACTACTTCAATTGAGAGTCTACATAGAGTACAATTTAATATTTTAGAATCTCAGTTTACCAAGAGGGCCAGTTTCTTTTTTGACTCCAGTACCCTTAAAAAGCTTCTTATCTCTGACAACTGGAGAATTTCTTCCAGACCCTGGACCTTTTTCACTTGCACTGCTACCAACACTAGCAGCATCTGCAGAATAAAAATAAAAAATTATTTCGTGAAATCAAAATAATCATAACACGAAACTGCAAAGCTGAAAATGCACATCCATTTCAGATCTGAATATTATTCATAGAAGTTGCCTTGTGTGGACAATATGCTTAGATGTGAGCTAAAACTGGGTTATGTACTACATAACTTTCTGAAGGAATGGAAGCATACTGGAGAACGAGAGCTCACAAAGAGAGGGGTTCAGAGAGATCTCAAAGAGAGAAAGGCTCACAGAGAGAGAGACTCACTAAGAAGGAGGTGGGCTCACAGAGAGGGGTACTCATAATGACAGAGGATAATGAAGAGAGAGGGGTTCACAGAGAGGAGTTCACATAATTTAATACAAAATCAGTCTCTTAAGCACGGGCTTTGAACAATGGCCAGACCCCAAGTGACCCTGCCTTGCCTCAAAATTCTGGTCACCAAATCTCAACTTCCAGTTGCAATGGCAAGCTTGCAGAGGAGGATGCTCACGAAGAAGCGGTCAAAAAGAGGGAGCTTTTAAGGAACATTCAAGGGAAATTAGAAAGACTTTTCACCTGAACATCTCATTGCCTAATTGTTAACATAACATAACATAACATCAACTTTATTTCAACATGATAAGAGTTTCAAGCTCTGCGCTTATGGGGTCATGCATTTAAACTAGTCCTAAAACTGATATCTATTACTAACTTACATACAAAATAGAGTAAGATTATTAATAGTTAATAATTATAAAAATTTGCACAATATATCTGATATAATCTGCATAAGATATCATTAAAAATAAAAATAGTCTTGATCACAAAAATTAACTGTTGAGGCAGATGTTACCTTAAAATGAAAATCTTTAAATTCAACGACCTTACTTAATTTTGAATCTATGCTCTTTCGTGTAGCATGAAAAATGTCTGCATTCCTAGATATAATTATATTCCAAAGAACAGCCCCTCTATAAGTTACTGAACATTCTAAATAGCGAGATTGAAATCTTGGTGTAACAATATTATCTGACCCCCTTAATGAATACAGTCAAATCGGTATTAAGCTGCACTGTATAAAGCAGTCACCCTGAATTAAGCCATCAGTTGTCAAATTAATCATTGTAATTTTTTACTTGTCTAATAAGCAGTCAAAGTCATCCTTTAACAAGTGACATACATACATACATACATACATACATACATACCTACATACATATTTGACCACTCCCCATAGGGGGTTTTCAGGGCCAACATCCACCCATCCCACCCAGGGGAAGACATCAACCACACAGTAATCTCGTGCGTGGGAAATTAACGTCTCCTACCCCTAACCCTGCAGGGGACGGGGCCTATGGTTTATTCGTCCTTATTTGAGATGACTAGGATATCTATCCATTTCTTGATTATAGAAAGGTTGTAAATTCTCCTCATTTATTTTAAGACCATGAGTATTGGTCTGAAAGTCTCAACAGCCTGCTCTTAGTGTCCTCCACCTGTATTGAAGGGTCACTAGGAGCCAAAGTGAATTAAAAGAAAACTAAGAATAATCTTTCAAGTAAATTTTAATCCGTGTTTCTCTCCCAAAATCAGAGTTAGTAGTATTTTCGAGCAAGATTCTGTACATTAAGTGGTCAATTATGGCATAAAGTGGCATTGTTTATAATTTTTTTGAATATCCCTAATCTGCGGAACCCGTATAATTTAAGCGGTCAACCTATATCAAGCCGTTGCCCTGCCATTCCCCACGGGTGCCTGCTTAATACAGATTCAACTGTTTCTTTAAAGGGGAACTGAAGCCTAAAAATGAACCATTTTTAAAATTGCAGCTTATAGTTCAAATAGCAATGTTCGAGGGTTTTTTTTCAACCTTTGGGCCCAACTTCACCTTGGAAAAATAGTTTAAAGTGGTATTTTGGCCTCGTAGTACAGCGGCTCAGAAAAGCGATGTCAGTGGTCATTTTAGCTCGCTCTTACGTCACTGGTGGGGAAGAAAGATAATAAACCCGTACTCTTCCTACAGAAATTTGGTTTGGTTATGGAGTTATCAAAGTTGCGTGACTTGTAATGGGGATTAATTACAAAAATGAAATAGTAACAGTTGTTTTTCTTAAGTTAGTTCCCCACCACTGACATCATAAATGACCGCTGCTGACCTATTTTGAGCCGACGGTCTTACAGTCCCAAAAGCGGGAAAATTGGCAACTTCAAATCAAATTTTCTCATAAAAAACAAGAAGTGAACGAAAATGAATATCGACACCTTATCTTACTCCTCTAAAGCTAACTAGAAATGAATGCAAACAATATACCAATTTTAGGCTTCACTTCCCCTTTAAAACTGATTGCACAGTTGCATTCTAATATAGAGTTTTAAATGCTGGTTGGCACTTTTGAAGAGGAATCCATAACTTGCATATTTATCGATGAGTAGAAAACCTACCATCATCCTCTGTTTTCTTATCTTTTCCTTTCTGTACAACTCCCCCACTGACAAAATTCAGAGGTTTTGTATAATCCTTCTTCCGTTTCCCCGAGAAACTTGGTCTGTCATCATCATCCGAATCTCTGTCTGCCCATATGCCATAGATGGCGTCTTCTCGGGTCATTTTGCGTCTTCTAAAGCCCAGACCCATTCCCTCCATCAAATCATAATCTGTGATCTCAAAATCTTCGACCTCTACGTCGTCCGCCATTTTCAGCTTTTTTGAGCCCTCAGCGATTAAATTAAATAGTTCAAGGTAATTTGTAATATTATAGGTAACCCTTCGTTGACTTTTTCGGTCCTTTTAGGCGCAGAGTCCTGTTGTCACAAACATACACAGGACGACGTGAATTAAAAGTTCGTCCGCCATCTTTTGCGTAAAAATAACGCATCAATATGCGTTTTCAACCGCTGTTCAGTATCATGCAAAGTCACGCATAGTCACGCATAGTCACGTAGTCACGCTTGGTTGCTCCCATCACGTGCACAAACACCTGAAGGCAACATCATTGTCAAACAAAAATGCAAAAAAGCGAAACGGAAAAAGGTGAGAAGTGACGAATAACCCACTAAATTTTAGCAGTTGTGTGTTTTATGCTTTCAGATTAGTGTCCTGATCACATGCAGACAGGGCAACGACCTTCATTGGGCTGGAGTTCTCAACTTTCCTAGTAAAACTGGTCAGAGAGGGTTTCCACCTTTTCAGTAATTTCCTTTTGTAAAACCCATTTCAATTTACCCAGAGGTCACTGTTGATTTCAAAGTCAATTGTTTATCATTTCATGGTAACTTGATCAGATTTTGATGCTTTAAGTCTATTACATTGAACTAAAATTTACAATGGTCCACAAGCTTTTCAGCAATATAGTATTATAAAAGTAAGGGCTGTCTAATCAATCCAGAGGTTTTAATAAGAATCTTGAAACCTGGCAATAAAACTCAGTTTAGTCAATTGGTGAACAAAACAAGGAAGCTTGAGGCAGTTCCTTCATTAAATCAAATGAAACAATACATGAAAAAAAAGATATAATATATTTTCCATAAATTGACCAAAAAAATACAACAATAATTACATGTATCAAGTGATTCCACAGCATTTAGCTGATTCCACATGACCAAATCTTCCTGACAAGTTTTCAGATGTCAATTTTCATGACTTCAAGGGTATTTTGGCAAATTCTTCCTGGGCAACTTCAACTAGGAAATGGATGTTGTTACTAGAAAATTCCCAGATGAGATTTTGTTATTATTATACAAAAAAACAAAAAACGCAAAAAACAAAAAAACAAAAAACAAAAAAACCACAACCATTTAACTGAGTTGCCACTAGGGCAGAAGATCAAATAAAGTGGGTGTTAATTTCACTTGCTAGAGGTTCCTTTGAAAGAGATATGAGGCCACTTCCTATATGTAGATGTCTTAAGCCTCTGTTTCAAGATGAGTGTACATGCATTCTCATATGAATAAAACACATTTTCATAGGCACCTGGCCTAATTTTGATATGGAAGGTTTTTGGAACTTGGAATTGGGCTATAAATTGTCATCAAAACAGTAAATATCAGTCAGAGTAACATTAGACTACTAGCAACCCCTCCTTTTCGACAAAATCCGTCATGCAAGTCCAAAATAATGGGCAGAGGAAAAGAGTAACGTTAGTGTGCACTGTGGAGTGTGCACTAGTGTGCACTAGGAGTGTGGGTCAAAGAGTTCTGCAAAGGGCACTTACATCAATTTTTTCCCTCATTTGTCTTTCTTTTTTTAAATTACACCACAGACTTTGCAGAAAAGGAAGGACAGCTCAAAGTCTAGAGTAACATACTTTATATTCCAGTTAAAAGTAATATCACAGTCAGGCTTCTTGCCATGTGGACTTATTCTACTCAAAATATCATTAATCATAGTAAATTAGAATAAAATACAACAATACTGACACCACTATTACAACTACAGGACTTAGTTCTACAAATGTCTTTTAAGGACTTCAATCATCTCTGAGGGAGGATGCTTCTCAAAACACACATTGTAGATTGCGGTAAAAAGAGGATACCTGAAAAAGAGAGAAAAAAAAAAAAACCAGGTAATTGGAGCACAGTTTGTATGTTACAGCCACAGGCCAACAGTTCTGGCTGTAAGGATGGAGTCAACAGAAACCACAAAGTCAACAAAAAACAAAAATGCTGGCCAAAACATGCAAAGACAACAAAGAATTTATATGCAAGTTATTACTCCTTTGCTGTAACTGATTTGGCCAGATTTGTGTTGTGACCCTGGCTACCGTAATTGTGCCAAAAAATTTCTTCAACTCAAATTCATAATCTCTATACTGGCACTAGTTTGTACTTAATATCACACAGACACTTACTCAGAAAGCAAATCATTATCTTTGAGCAGGTGATACACTTCATAGACTGTATGGGGTCCCTGTAGTTTCTGCCCTCCAAGTATGTACTGCTCAACTTCTTCAAATGTCTTGAATACAGAAAAAAATATGGGTAAGTATTTATATGCATTAATTTTTACACAAATTCTATTGGTATTGTAGACTTAATTCAACTGTCAAACTTTTTATGTACCCAACTTACATACCTATTTGGTTCCACCCAAATAATAAAGCTTAGCAATTGCTTCTGAGGTAAAACTTGACCCTTAAACCTGTTAGAGTGTTTTACATCTAATTTCTCCTTACAAGATCACCCCTGAATTACACAGTAAGGTCCTGAGAATCAAGGAAATGATCACCAATTATAAAAGCTCAGTCACAAACCTTTCCCTTGACAAACTCTTCTCCTGCTATCCGGTTTCTTCCTCCATAACATGTAGTTATCAAATCAGCCACTCCACACGATTCAAAGAAAGTCTCCAGTTTAACATTATCATAGAATCTCTGGGCAAACTGAATCATTTCTTTGAGTCCAATGCGAATGACTGCTGCCTTGGAGTTGTCACCATAACTGAAAAATGAGAGGTTTAACATTGTCATTAAACAGAGGGGGAAAAACCCAGGAAAAAAATACTTTTTCTGTGCCTGACCCTATGTTTTATTTTCCTCAACCTTTGGTGGAGAAACTCTGATAAATATTCATTTCCTACTCATTAAAATCAGCCACAATAACATTTCTTACCCCAAGGCATCTACAACTCCTGCTCCAACTGCTACAGCATTCTAAGAACAAGAAAAGAATTATGTTGAGCACCTTTACACCATCACTCATTGACCACAAAAAACTGTGTAAATGATTTGAAAGCATTGTTCTCCCATATTTTAAGCAGAACAGTTAAAAGAAATTTTTTAAACCAGTAGAGCAACCCTTTCAACTACAGTGCAGCCTTGATTTGAAGAAGTGCCAAGGGACAGGGGAAATTGGTTTGTTATATCAAGGGTTCATTATATCGAGGTTCTGTGGTATACATTTTACTGTAACTTTAGCTGGTCTGAAACTGATGTATTGTTCATTATACCAAGGACTTTGCTACGTAGAGGTTCGTTAAATCGAGGTTCCACTGTGGTGAATTTTCTAGAATTCCAAGTGATTACAGAAAGTAATAAGAGCTATTACTGTAACAGTAACTGTCTGAAAGGAGAACACTGTGAATGTCATTAAAAAATTGAAAAAAATATTTCACAATTATACACAAGGAATACATGACTGTGGATTCTTCCTCAACCCTTTCCTCCCTGACATCAGTATGCATATTCTCCATACTGTTCTCTATACATTTCCAAAGGTACTGACAAGGAGAATTTGTTTAACAATCAAGAGCTTCTTTAGTTGGTGATGATTTCCTGTATTCTCCCAACAATAACATGTGAGGGTTGATGTTGTAAGGAGAAATCAGATGTCGGTCACTCTTTGGGTTAAATGGTTAATTTAAAGTTCACAATTTGAAATACAGTTTAAGCTATTTACTATCAGCCACCTTGAAATTCCTGATTTTAATAATTTTTATTTGATATCTCTTGGTGGGCTGAGGTAGTGGGGTTCAATTGCAGTTTTAAAAATTTGTACTTTAGATAATGTATGATCATTTGAATAAACCTTAAGTGAGCCACAGAGTTCAACAGTGTCTGCATCTGACACAACATTGATTTTGAAATAATCTGTGTGAAACAGATCCTTAAGGAGGGGACCATGTTCTTCCATGCGACAACCTGTTGGAATTAAAAACAAAAATCAAATAAAAAATAACTAGTACATCATGTTTTATTTCAGACAATGAGATTTACACTTTTAAATATGATCACGGTTCCTGCCTCTGATTGGATGAACAATGCATTTTCATCATCATTCACTTCATACTTTACAGTTTAAATCTCAGTATGTATGAAATAAAAACATCACACCATAGAAAGGGCTTGAACGATGTTTATTTACTTGTTATGATACATTACCAGGTGCAGTTTTAGTTGCTAGACATAGGAAATTTATCTGAAGTTTGTTTTCTATGCTATCTGTTTACAGAAATTTGAAATCGGCACCAGCAATGATAGAATTTCACAATTGACCTACCTATGGTAGCCTCCCCAAACATCTCTCTCGCCACTTCCTTTGCGAGGTTTGCTCCCATCAAGACACTCACGTGAGGAATTTCCAGAGATTCTTTGATCATTGTAGACACAAGATTGATTCCTGTACTGGCATGATCAAGACCCTTTAAGGAAAGTAACATCAGAGTGAGACAAAAGAGTTCTATGCGACACTTTCCTTTATGAGAACAATGTAACACAAATAAGTGTTAATAGGAATTCACAACTTAGGTGTCATCTTGAAATAACAAAAACTTCTCTGAGCTTATACACAAAGAAATATAAGGCAGGTAGAAGGGAGAATTACATATCAGATCTAGAGAGTCAGAGGATTATCAATTTTCAAGGAGGGATACCTAACAAAGACAGAGATTAGCAAATTAGGATAGAACTCAACAAAGAGATAAGGGTGAATCCATCCTTATGAAGAACAATCCTTGCAACCCTGTTTCTCAAGTTCAAGATTCTTAAAGAGTTTACTATCACCAGGGCAAGTGCCTTTATAACCTTCCTAACCCTCTTCATGGGGTATCTTCTTGGAAAAGAAATTGCAAAATAACAAATTTGCATAATAATCAAGTTTCTAGGGAATTGATCAAGACAATGAAAGCTTGGTCATTAATGTGGTTCCTTATTTATTCCTAGTCATTTGAATGTGAAATGTATTCTTGGGTTTTATCTGTTAACTGAACTCTTCAAATTACCATACAAAAAATTGTATCATGGAAAGAACCATGGATTTTGCTCACAAACAATGAACTTTGAAACATCATTTTCAACTGAGACTTGTAAACTTGGTGGGAAGATAATCATAGCACTGGGATCAACATCTCTAAAAAAAGAGCTTTGAAAAATATGGAAATTGTTTTGGTCTAGTACAAAAAATTGGTTTCAGAAAGGTAAATTTCAACTGTTCATGATGTTCTTCCAGAATTTTTTTTTTCTTTTTTCATTTTGCCCATCATCTGATCAGTGATGTGCTTGACTCAACTCCATTCCCACCATGTAAACAGATCCCGTGAACAACTGACAAGGTTAAAGGTCACTTGCCCTGATGCTAGCCTGCCGTTTAAGAGCCTCATTTCTGTTTATGCTGTCCTTTCGGCATTCTTGCCAGGTCATTATGTGAGTCTTGTCAGCAATTGCATCAATTCTCATGAACTTACATGGGATGCCAAACTGTTAAAACAGGACAGAATTTCACTGGCAAGACATTTGAAATCAAGCCATAATTTTCAAGCAACAAGCACTTGTCGCATATCAGAAATAAATTTGGGATTACATTGGTTTTGCTTTAACCCTTAAACTCCCTGAAGTGATTCACATGTAACTTCTCCCAATAATATCCATACATTAACCAGCAAACAGGTAATGAGAATACTCAGAATTATCAGCAGGTAGAAGTTGATAACTTGATCTGACAGCAAATTCTCGTAACTAATTTACAGGGAAATGTGTAGCAGCTAGAGGGGAGAATTTACAATCGGATCACAGGAGTTACGGTGTTAATTAATTTTAGAACTGGTTCCAGAGCTATCAGCTATTTTCAGTCTGCCATATTTAGCTAGCTACTTTCTCCTTGCTTTACCATAACTGCTGATACAATAATACAATTACTGAAATGCCATAAAATGAATTTTCACAACAACCACTTCCCAGATGCATAGTTTACCAATAACAGTTTTAGATGTGTAAATCAATTACACCCTAAGAATTTGCTCAAAGGTTCAAGGGAACTCCATGTTATACCTGAGACATTTCATTTGAATAGTTTCCAGACTTTCACATAGTCTGACAGATCCACATGGCCTCTATCATAACCAGGCCACCTACAATTTCTGAATGCCATTCTTTCTTTTCAAATAAGAAGACAGCTCTGAGTCTAGAAAACTTGTACCTCCTACTTAACCGATCTGATACAAAACTTGATTCAATTATTCTTTTGCAACTCTTGGAAATTTAGGATGACTCACTGTGTTTTACTTTAAGCACTCTCTAGGCTCCTTGTGATCTTGCCTTTCTTTTCTGATTACCATCCATATAAAAATTCTCTGAACACAATACAAGCTACAACCTGAGGGACTCTGAAAACAAACTTAATGTTTTATGCCCACAAATTATTTCAAATTAAAATAGTAATCATGGTGCCACGCTGTGGAATAGCCTTCCTTGCAAGGCTAGCTACAAGGAATCCCTCTTCATCAGCAAAGCTCTCTAGGGCACTGCATTTATGGACACCAGCTTCTTAGTATAGTGTAATTCATAGTTATAGTTGGATCATTTTGTAAATAGCTGATGAATAACCAGTGGTTAAATTAAGTTCATTGATTGATTGATTGATTGATTACTGGTATCTTTGGCTTTAGAACACTGTCATAATTCATGCTAATCACAGGGTGATTGCTGTACACATGGGGCATTTCATAACCCCTCTTCAGAAAGAACAGGGTTTGACATCCCAACTTCTGGAACAACCTGTTATTTACCTTTATGAGGGAAATCGCAATCACCCCTGGTTTCACCACTTCTTTCATCTTGGTGCAAACTGCCTTCACAAACTAATAAAAGAAACAAACCAACAGTTAAGTAGTTTCTTAGAAATCAACTTTGAAATAAAAGCTAGCGCTAAGAAGTCGTGACGTTTCGACCTCTCTGAGGTCATTTTCAAGTGAGTAAACAATTGTGTTCTTAGGCAAGACACTTTACTCTCACAGTGCCTCTCTTCGCCCAGGTGAATAAATGGGTACCCGCAATTTAATGCTGGGGGTAACCCTGCGATGGACTAGCATCCCATCCAGGGGGGGGTAGAAATACTCCTAGTCACTTCATGCTACAGAAACCAGAGTTAAGCACTGGTCTAATGGGCCACTAGGCTCGTAAACAGACTTTAACAAACAAATACAGTAAGTACAACATAATATACTTTATTAGTATAATTTCAGAGCTGAGCAAAGAGTTTCCAGCAATCTGATTGGTCAAGTGGTTCCTTATATGATGCTATATAAACTGCTCCACGCGGTTTATAAAAAATGTTAAAATAAAATGTTAATAAATGTTACTAAAATGTTATGATTTTAGAAATTTCTCTGTCATTCAGCTCTGAAATTATACTAAAACAATTATTCACCTCAGGTTCGGTGAATATTGTTGAATAATCCCCTTGACTTCGTCTCGGGGATTATTTGACAATATTCACCTCACCTTTGGTGAATAATTGTTAAATATATTTTAATTAATTGAAGTTTTTTTTTCTTGAGTGTTAAAACAGGTTCCACTTGACTAATTATGGGTAAACATTTCAAATGAATGTAATATTTCAGTTTGAGTATCAATACAAACTTGAATAAAGGACATAAAATTATTTAGCCCTTTTCACTAAAGAGGTGACCAATTAAAAGAAAATTCCCCTCCCAACACTGACACTTTTTTAAGCAGAACAGTAATAAGATACAACTAGATCAACTGGGAAACGACATTAACCTGGTGAGGTACAACAAACACCAGAATATCTGCATCCTTCGCAGCCTCCACTACATCCGGGTTTGCAACCTACAATAGAAGACATAGCAAACATAAATAACAAGTCCCTTTTGGCTTAAGAAATAGTTACAAATTTTTAATGTTTTGACCATTATTATAACCTATTAAAACTACTGACAATATTAAAAAATTGGTCTGTATTACTACAGCTAAGATTCCTTTTGTTTGCAAGTCACCATGTTAACAAACATCATTCTCCTATTAAAGAAATTCCTCAAAGCCAATTTGAAACAACCAGGAGTTTAATTAATCAAACATAACTGCCCCCCAGTTAGCTCAATTGGTTAGAGCGCCGGATTGTGTTGTGTGGGAGGTCGAGGGCTCAAGCTGCGATGGGACCAGTACTCATGGTCTTAAAATAACTGAGGACAATTTGCCACCTTTCTATAATATCAAGAAATGGACAGATATTCTAGTCTTCTTGGATAAGGACAAATAAACTGTAGGTCCCATCTCCTGCAGGGTAAGAGGTAGGAGACGTTAATTTCCCACACACGAGATTACCTTGTGATGGATGTCCTCCCCTGGGGTGGGATGGGTGGGTGTTATTGTTTCAAAGGGCCCCATTTAAACTAGCGATTTGCTAAACTGGGCTACCTGTATAAATATTCGTAAAATTCGTAAACATTCATAAACATACAAAGGAAAATCCTTTGTATATCTAAGAATTTCCTTCATCGAATAACTGGCTACTAGGTAAAGCCACTTCTTTAAAACAATCTTAGTCATTTACTGGTACCAGTGTGGGTCAGTTCTACTTTCAAAGAAAAAATTATTTTTTAAACATTATCTCTTGACTGAACAAGCTTGTTTACTTCGAACAGAAAGTTATGCAAATTTTGCAAACACAACTGTACATCTTGTACTTGTTTAAATTCAAGATAATTTGAAAAATTGGACATGCATTTCCTGGTGTTAAGTTGTCACCTTTCAAAGGTTATTCCAAATTCATGATGAAAGAAGCTGAGGGGAATTCATGAGAAATCACTTTGTTTTCTTGCCTCTTTAACTACTCCATGAAATTCATGGTAATTCATGCATATCGACTCAATCTCATGCTTTGTTGTTGTTCTCTTGTTTAGATAAAAAAAAATACAAAAATTGCATTTTTGTGAATCTATAATGTGATTAATTACAAATAGACTATCAATACAGGCATATCAAACCAACAAAGATCGACATTCATCCTTCCTTCATACGTAAAAAAATGTGTATGCACATCTGGTAACTACAGATCTGTGCAAGATTCCGTATAGCCCCATACTTCATTATGCATACAATTCTTGGATAAAGGGAAAGCAGAGACAAAACAACATATTTCCTTTGGGGCTTCGGCTTTGTTTTTGATTGGTATGGCGTTAAACGGAAATCTTTCCCAGCTCTGAAGTGCCACGAAGCCATCTGATGACACATCCACTTAAAATAACGAACTTAATATAGATCCTTCGTATATAAACCTCATCAATGTTTCCTCCTTAAGTGTTTTGCAAAATTAAAAGTAAAACACCCTCCGAAAGTATGATTTAAAAAAAAAAAAAAGATTTCACGTCTTCAGGCGATATTGCAGACTGAGTTGGTTGTTGAGATAAACAACATTTTGTTGACATAATCGCAGTGTACAATAAATTCAACCTGCTTTCCCAATAAACTTACAACGTTATCCGGCAATTTAAAACCTTTGAGGTACTTCACATTCTCGTGTTCCGTGTTGATAATTTCTGTGAGTTTTCTTCCTTCAATTAGCTCTTCATAAACGTACATCTGCACTGTTTGTTGGAATAAATCCGGATGGTCTTTCACATTGGCGCCCACAATGCGAGATATCACAGAGCCCCTGAAAGAAGAAATTAATGAAACCGGTTCGATGTTTCCCAGATTTTGGAAGCTCTGTATTCGATCGCGCGCTATTCTTCCAACAAGTTGATTTCATTTAGGTAGCTAGATGCTTCAGATGATGAACTTACCAGTTTCCAGAGCCAATTATGGTGACTTTCCTCGGAGCTGCCATTCTTAGTGCATGCAGACTTCGAGCAAAACAACTAAACATTGCACCTTCATGGTCGAACTATTGGCATAGGGTGAACGAAAAGTATCATGGGATGCCCGCCCGTCGCGAACCACACGGCAGTCATGAAACCTGCGTGACACCAGGTTTCATGAAATGCGTTTATAATTCATTTTGTCGTATAAAAACAAATAAACTCAAATTAATGAAACTGTTGCCTTAAATTTTTTCTCTGATATAAACACTGAAGGTGAACGTTCTATTGATCGATAAGATGCCCGCCCTCAACCTCGTTCCTGGGTCTCTCATCAATCCGCCCCTGGAGGACCTGGAGCGAGAGAGGGACGAGAAGATGAGAGACCTTGGTAATGAGGTTGGCTCGCCCTTTCCACTTGTCTAGAACTTCAAGCTTCCAGAAAGCATCTCGACCCTCTAGGTAACACCCCTCCTACCTTTTCCCCTAGACAAAAGCAATGCTATTGTTATCCATTTAGGCCAGCTAGTTTGTATTTCAACATAAGATATCAGTCTCCATTTTGTAACAAATATTGTTAGTTTTCCGCCTCCCCCCC